TTTTTTAAAATGGAATATCGGAATCAACTTCTCAGGCAAACTGCCAGATATTTTAACTACCATGAAGGTTCAGGAAGAGAAAACAACTAGCAGACACTTGAAAACATGAGCCAAGAGTTCAACAGTCACAAAAATATCCTTGGTACTGATGTGTCTTGAAATTTTTCCAGCATTAGAATCCAGTGTTAGATTTTCTGAGCCAGAGAAATTTTCGTCTTTCCCATATGTATTAATCTATTTAATATTTAATCCTGATACGGCATGGCATAAAGTAGTGATTCTGAAAATGAACCCCAGAAGTCATCTGAGCCCATATTCTGCCTGTCCTACATGTTTGGGAAGTCTACATTAGTGTAAGTATCTTGGGAAAAAATGAAATGTTTCTGAAACTTTTCATCTGTCCAGAGATCTGAAGTGTTTAATGGGGCACTGGAGAGGTTATGTGTGAGATGATCAAAGCCGCATGACAAACTTCATCTTAGGATGGCATATTACTGTGTGTATATATGGTCTCTATGGGAGGGTGTTACTAAATAATGTATTTTTCATAAATTAAAATCTAATGCTTAATCATTTCGTGATATATTTAACAGTTCTTATTACAGCCTGCTTGCAAGGTTTACTCAGAGTTCAGCTGGGAAAATGTGTCCCGTTCCTGTGTCCCTTTCCGTGTTTGCTTAAATGTATAACCGTGAGCCTGTCAAACCATGGCTAAGTGATGGGTAATGGGAGCAAATTTAGCAAATCCATCCATTTCCCCAACTCAGCCACATGTGCAGTTTCCACTGCAATGACCTAGTTGACGGAGCTGCAAACACGCACAAGCACCGGGGTAAAATCATTTACAATGAGAACAGCCCATGCTGTTCCTCCTCTAGCTCCATCCCTAATGCTCCCCCATATCAGGACCCAACAGCTCCCACACTTCTATAGCGGGTCTCATGATATTTAATGTTCTCCTTAAAATCTCCATTACATGCTTATTGATCAGCATCTGCATTTCCCATTAGCTTTTAAATGTTCTGTTTTCTGTGAATGGTTTGAAATCACAAAGCAGACATGTGGAAAGCAGCACATAAATAAACAAAACAACTACATTTTGTCTGTATTTTTTTTCCATTGTGCCCATGGCAACCCCCTGGTGCTGGTTCTTGGGTCATGGTTTTGAAGTGCCTGGGGTAGGCAATGGATTGCCCAGAAAAGAACTTACAGCTCGATTCCACAGTAAGCGACATCAATGTACATTGCAGTGTCGATTTTGCTGGGATGAGGATCAGATCTGCTTTCCAGATCACCTCCCAGGGCAACAGCTACGTGATTTAAAAAGGTAAGACGCTTCAAACAAAAAGAGTGCTCTATTACCATGCATATTACCATTTGAAGCAAATCTCAGCTTTCTACTTTCACTGGCTCAGGTTTCATCCAGGCCACAGACCTGGGGGATAATACCTTCACTCTCAGTTCTTCCTTTTAAACAGGGAGACCGAGGCTTTCATAGCATCACAAAACAGAGTGGGAGGGGAAAAAATAACCACTAAAATACAGTCCTTCTCAGAAGCCTTTTAAAAATGAACTGCATTTTAAAACATTTTAACAGGTTTATTTTAACCTACATTGCCTTCGGTGTGTTTTACACATCAACAAAGACTCACCAAGTCATGAAGATTAGTTGCCCATTCAAATTTCTTCATCATTTAGGAAAATACTGCAGTTTAAAAGCAAGGTACATATCTTCCTTTGGTACAGGAGAGTGCACTGAAGCCAGTGAACTTACTGTAACATCATCCAAAATCTTGGCCCTACACTGATGTTTATCCTAGTAGCATAGGTGCTATCCCATGAGAAAAAAAGGAACACGTAAGAATATTGAAGTGTTCATTCTTACAAATCTTGACGCTGAACTTCAGTTGTTCTTAACTGTCTTTCCTACTACACATCTCTGGCATTAGGACCCTTCCTCTTAGCCTTGCTGAGCCAAAATCAGACATGAGGCACAAAGGAGAGTAAGCTAATTTTTTAGTTAATAGAAAGTATATTTATTTTTTTGAAGAATAGCTAAGGGATTGCTAGAAAGTGTAAATAACACAAAGAAATGTTCTCCTCCCAGTCTATACAGTTCTACCATCTCTGTGTTCTCACATGCTCCTTTTATATGATAACCTTATATAATAGTTTGTAGTCTTTGCAGTGTTTGTATTTATGTTTATAAATCTGATCAGCTTTGCCACTTACAAGGCAGTCACAGTGATGAGGCCAAAGGCTGTATCTAAACTGGACTACTTAGGTGTCAAAAAATCCTCTCGCTGACAAAAACCTTCCTTGTCCTCAGTAACTACACTGCATCAATCAGCGAGATCTTAAGCCATCAGCTTATGATACAGAATATACTTGATTTTCTGCCTCTTGAGTTTCTGAATCATTTTGATAAGTTTTATACAGTTTTTCCAAAGTCCACAGAAGACAAGGAAAACAATCCTACAATGAAAGAGATGCTATTTGTTTTTTTCTTTTAGCAATAATACCTGCAAGTCTCAAAAAAAAGCTCACAACTCTCTCAGGTCACTTCTCGATTGCCATAAAAAAAATTAACCGTTCCAATCAATGGATCCTTGTGCAGTCTATGACGCTTACAGTACACACTGAATGAAAAAAAGTTGTACACCTAAGGTGTAGGTGTACACCACAGTTGTACACCTAAGCGTTTTGTTGTCAAGTGCTGCAAGACCCGGAAAAGCCAGCAACACACTGCACACCTACAGTAGCTCTTTCTTAGGACAATTTGTAGCACAAAAATTCAAAAAATCTGATGAATAATGGTGTTTATTGGCAGATATAATCTGTCCATAGAGATAGGTAAATGTTAAGCAACCTGCTACTATTATCTGCTTTTAGTCATGTTATTTTCCAGTGAACATTTTTTAATTATGACTCCACAAGCAAACTTCAGTATGCCCTTTATACGCACTAGTAAAAGAAAAAATGTTGGTAGCGCTACAAGACTTGGAGAAAAGAATTTTTTTAACACTGTCACAAAAAGTTTCCATGTGCACAGTTCCCTAACTATCCACATTCAGGCTGCCTCAGCTGCCCAGGGCACCCCGCTGACAGCACCACCACCACTCAGAGGAGCTGAGGTCACCTTTGGCATTCTGGGTTTTGAGGTTTTGTTTGCTTGCTTGTTCCTTGAAGATCTAATCAATTTATGAATTATGCCAGTAATTCTTGCATGAATACAGGTATAACTATAGTGCAGAAATCTGCTCTCCTGCCATCCAGCTGATTTATACAGAAGATCTGACTCAGAAGACTTATTCCATAAGCAACTTACCCATTTGCTGGTTTAATTCCACAGTTACCAGGGTGATAACACACAGGTATCCTGATAGAAGCCAGCAGGCTCAAAGGGCACCTTCAGTACACTTTTTTTCTAATCCCTTAAACACATACCATTTTTTCCCCCTGCCTTCAAGTGTTATTTTCCCATCCCACCCCTAAATAATAAAAAAGAGGCTAAATTAAAGGATGGAGAAAAACCAGTCCTAACCTTTTCCTCCTTGAGAAGACTAGTTACTGCAATATTGGCATTCATAAAATTCACAAAAATGGAAATGAAACGTGGGAGGAGAAGACACGTTGTTCTGCTCTGCACAGACCGAAACAAAAATACTCTGCCAAAACAAGCCAAGGTACTGCTGGTAATGGGGTCTACTTTTTGGATGACTGAAGTTGGCGCTTTTATGTTAGAGAACACTGCTAACTCCTGAGAGCTCACTGTGGGCAACGCAGCAGTTTCCCAGGGGAAGCTGCCAGGCTGAGATAACTGCCATTACTGGAGCACACGTGTGAGGAAGGGAAAGGTACACCACTGGAAACAGCAAGGGCTTATAATTCAGGTAGGAAACATGGGTTTGGATCCACAGCCTGACTCTACATCAAGGGCCGCGGGAGCGCTTCTCATGCCAAAGCGCCTGCACGAGATGCACCGCAACTCCAAGGTGGGAGAGGAACCAGGGATGTGCTCAGTCCTGGCCTCCTGGCCTGGAGGCGTCAAAGCAAGGACACACAGCAGGAGGGACCTATGCCAGGTCCCCCAGCCTGAGTGAGAGGATGATCACGTCTAGACGTGCACCCACAGGCCAGTTTATGCTTTAGTGGACCTCGTCTGAATGTAGGAATAAATACAGAAAGGGTCACTGCTTGGTGATGTAATTCTTAAAGCGGTGGGCCACCTTAGAGGGATGAAGGCTGTCTTCTGGCTGTGCTTCTTCCCTTATCATTTTTAATAAGTAAAGTAAGTTTCAGTTAAAAAAACTTAAATCTAGCAGTGCAAAAGCTGGTTGCAGGAAAAGTTTTGTCTGGAGAGGAGAAGAACACTGAACATTGTTTTACTGCAGCTTTGATGCACACTTTGACTATTTCCAACAAATCTATTCCTATGACTTCATTTGCTATTGAATCTGCAAGCATGTAATTTTAAAATAAAGATTTTGCTTTGGGGGAGAGTGGAAAGCATCTAATGATGAAAACTGTCATTATCTGGGACATAGGGGAATTCATATTATGGATTGATAGATAATTACAAATGGTAAATGGAGTACTTTCAGGAGGCTTTGCTCATGACAGAAGCAGCACTGGCGGGCCTGTAGTTCAGCACGGGAACAGGTTTTCCTAAAAAAGAGGGAAGTATTATATATGTTCATACACTTAGTTGAACTCCTTCCAGTGACTTGCCTCTTTCTAGATGCCATTTTTAGCTCTTAAAAACAAGTAATTTCAAAAAATGGGATATGTTAGGAAATATTTATTAGATATATGCTACTCTTTCATAAAGCCTTTTGTTAAAATGTTTTAAACCATGCATTTCACTTGTGTTTCACCGTAACAAGGCAATCAAGGCATCCTTCTGTTTACCAGAGAGCAGCAGGCACCTAACTCACCGAGTTGCTTCACGCACCAGTGTTAAAAAGATTAGGATAAGAGAATTATCACTGAACTCTTACCAAAGCAGGAATTGACAAAGCCGTACCACCTACAACCATGGTCCCCTCCAATCCATTTGCCATGGATGTTAGATGCAAAACTGAGGGTAGTGCCTGAGATGCACACTAACATGTCACTGATACTGATGTTCAGGAGAAGCATGTTGACAGGGTTACGGAGGGTTTTAAACTTGCAGAAGAGGATGAGGACAATCAAGTTATTCAAGAAACCAAAAAACAAGATAAATCCAAGAAAAACAGCCACTATGGTGTGCCCATTTCGTGAGAGTCCAGCCCTTGGCTCAACAAGATCTGCAGGTGCACCAAAGCTCAGGTTGTATGTCCAAGTGTGGTTCATTTTGGACTTGCACACAGAAAGGTGAGGGCAGAGACACCAGGCGCCCTGTGCTGAAGTCCTCCAGCAGTTTCCCAGAAGCGTCCCTCCATTACAGGTCAAATCATCTCAGGATTCTTGCGATCTTCACTCAGTTGAGATACCTCTCGGGCGGTTGCTCAGGTGTGAAATATTGTATCACAGCACTGGAGCGTTTTCCTCACTGTGTCGTTCCAGTGGTCAGCTCTGCAGCTAACTCCAGGGCAGCAAAACCAAGTGATCACCTCAAATTCATCTTTGTTATTTAAATCCAGGATCATGTTAGATGGTCTTTTTTGAGGCTCAGAAAGGAAGACATCTTAAAAAGGTGCTTCAGCATGGTCCCTTCTTTCAGAGCGAATGGGCAGCCCTTCTATCAATGGGGCAGCTACCTTCGTTTGCTCTGACAATGAGTGTCTGTCTGAAAACAGAGAAGAAAACAAGTGATAAAAACAAAACAACCCTTTCCATATCAAGACCAAAGTAGGTACATAATTTTATAACAGTTCCTCCCTTTTTGAACTGTAACAAATGTTTTTCAGTCTTTTCAGTTTTCTTTCTTGCTGATTTTCAGCAGAAAAATCAGTTTGTTGGCATTTCCTTGGCTGTTCTAAACAGTTTTTCCCTAGCTCATAGTTTAGCATGGAGAAGGTTATTTGCACCTTCCTAGCAAAGTTCCCCAGGTGAGAAACTGCATGGTAAGGCACAGCTTTTGCAACAGCTTCCCAGAGGAAGAACTGTATCTTCCTCTTCATTAAGTCAATCCACACCAAGCAAAACTTCAGTCTTGGCTAGACCTTAATTAAAATGAAGAAAATTTTAGGAGAAGGAGAAAGTATTTTTTTTGCCCAGAAAGAATAATTTCAAGCGCAGTCCCTGAAGCTCTCATGTGCTTACAAAGGTTGGCAGAACTGTGATATCAATTTCACTTCTCCCACATTTACCAGTGGACAGATCTTCTCCTTCATTATTTATAAAGGAGCCGAACACCCAAAGCCTCACATCTCTCTCCCACCACAGACATGAATTTGTATACCCACACGCAGTGACTACAAATGTGTGTGTCTATGTTGTGAAGCAATAGCAGAGTGCTTAATGTGGATGCGTAACTGCTTAACCAGCCCTCTGCATGGTTGCAGGCAAATTCTGCACAGACATTTCTATAAAAACAGAGGTGAAGATACAGAGATATATGTAGGAATTTCCACTCACTGGTGCAAAATGCATGGCACCCATAGCTTGAACTAAAAAGTATGAAAACTTTTCTTTTGTGAATCATGTACTCCTTGAATGACTACACACATTTCAAAAAGTGGAGCATCTTCTGATTTACTCCTGGTCATCACTTTTTTGAAATTGTCTTGTAAGAAAAGATGCGTCGAGCAACTAGAAAAATGAGAGTTCGGAGTTTACTGAAGACACAGACGTTGTTTGGTTTTTTTCTTTTATCATATCTTTGTGAACGTTTATAGCAAGTATTTCTTCTTACTACTTCCTTACTTTCACAAACTCACTGTACTAAATATGTCACATTATTGCAGTGATTTTTAACTTTAACGTATACGGTCTGTCTTTACTTTCTCTTCTGATGAGTAAATGTACACTTTGCAGACCTTCACTGACAACCTGAAACATTGATACTTCCTGGTTTTTTTCCCCATTTAGGAGGTGCATAGTAATTTAGATCAGTAAGGGTCTGAGGTAGCATATCTAAGAGAAGAAACATTTGAAATCCTCTTTCTACCATCTTGAAAAAAAAATATCCCCTGTCCAATTCTGCTTGCAGGTTGTAGAAGGAAACTAACTAGGACTAACCATCAATATTCTTTAATCATAATTGTGTTTAAAGGAACAGAGTTAAAGTTTAGTGGAACAAAACAGAAATGAAAGAATCAACTGATTAAAAAATATGATGCCAAGTGTTTCTCAGTCACTAATTGCATGACTGAAAAGGCAAACAGCTGCACTTTTTTGGTAGGAAAAAAAAGCATGGTGGCATTGTGCTGAAGGAGAGCTTCAGAAGGAAGAATTCAAAGGAAAGCGAGCATGTACAGCAAAATTAAGTAATCATTGGTAGATTTATTTATTTTTTTTAGTAATTCTGCTTATACCCTAGCTTCTACCAAACTAATCTATTCTTTTTCCATCACTTCGAAGACAGTTTTGTCTGATCTGTTTGTACGTATCTGTTTACTGAGGAATGTAGCTAAGGTCAGTCCTATCTGCTCCTCCCTTCTGCAAAGCATATTGCAGAATCGGGCTTCAAAATCTGAAGAGACTTAAGTCTGATTTACATGCAGATTAATTTCAGTTTCAGATGCAATTTTTTTTCCAAGCTGAACTGGTTACACCTAGATAATCTGTAGCAAAGATTATAGTATGCCATCATAAATATTTCTATGTGGGAATTAACTTCAGAATAATCACAGGCAGAGTATGAATAATATTATCGTTAAAGCATCACAGCCTTAGTGTTAGACAAAGCCAAAGGTTATAATCCCCTTAGCAAATATGAGTTTATATATGTATAATAATAAGTTTATATATGTATCTCTATTAAGCTCAAAATACAAATAACAAAATGTAGATCTTTTATACGCTGTCACATACATCCTGCATTCTTAAGGACATATTCAAGTCCAGAGTAGGGCCACGAAGCTGATCAGAGGGCTGGAGCACCTCTCCTATGAAGACAGGCTGAGAGAGTTGGGGTTGTCCAGCCTGGAGAACACAAGGCTCCAGGGAGACCTTAGAGCAGCCTTCCAGTACCTGAAGGGGCCTACAGGAAAGCTGGTGAGGGACTGTTTATCAGGGAGTGTAGTGACAGGACAAGGGGTAATGGGTTTAAACTGAAGGAGGGTAGATTTAGATTAGATGTTAGAAAGAAATTCTTTACTGTTAGAGTGGTGAGGCACTGGCACAGGTTGCCCAGAGAAGCTGTGGATGCCCCCTCCCTGGAAGTGTTCAAGGCCAGGTTGGATGGGGCTTTGGGCAACGTGGTCTAGTGGAGGGTGTCCCTGCCCATGGCAGGGGGGTTGGAACTAGATGATCTTTGAGGTCCCTTCCAACCCAAACCATTCTATGATTCTATGATTCAGAGTTCATATTTACAGTGCTTGTAAAAGGACATTTGCTCCCTGGATGGGATTCAGCTGACTAAAATTTAGCAATCTGACACCAGGTGTCCAGGCACAGCCCAGTGCCCAGGCCATTTCTCCTCAGACTGCAACCCATCTGGCTTCAGCGGGACGAGTTCTGCCCTGGTGCAGAACCAGGTAAGGATGCCCAGGCAAGAGAAGTAGGCCCTGGTAACTCAAATGTAAGATACATTTTAAAAAGTTAGTAGGCACACTGTGAAGGTCAAGCCATGTGTCCACTTAAAATTGAAAGATGACAAAAAGGACTCACTAAGATGTGCTTCAAAAAGTTTGGGGTGAACTTAAGAGACAGAGGTCTGCAAAGGAAAACATCTGAAGATGTATCTGGGCTGTGCAGAAGTAAGTCTTTTATTAGTAGCTCGTGCAAAGTGCTAAGCGTTTTTATACCTTTGGATGAAGTACAAGCCAAATTCAGATTTCAATAAAGCTTCTAAACTCCCATACAAATCCCTTGAAAGAATGGGTCTAGTTCTTACTTAATGTTAGCATTTAACTCAATTAAACATTACTGCTGAAAACACCTGAAGACAGGCTTGTGTGCTCAAAGGTTCACTTGATTTTTTTTTATTTTTTTTTTTCCTCCAGACAGATAGCTTGGCTTAATAGAGGTTACTTTGCAACTCTGACAATGCTGTCTTACTGGTTATGCTCTGCCCTCCCCAAGTCTCCATGATCTAGCTGAACACTCTGAACCCTCCTAATTTCTGGCAACGTCCAGAGCTTGCGGGACCAAACTCTATCAAATTCTGCCAATTCTACTTCTCAAAAAATCTTAAGAAAAAACCCAGTGACACCTAAAATTGCATTCAAAACAAATAAAAGAACATCCATTTTGCCTCCTTCAATTTGTTTGACTTGATGTGGAAAGGAAAACATACCCAAAGTGATAAAAAACATATGGCCAGGTGAAACAGGCCAAAAGCTCATTTAACATCACCAGTTACTAAATGCTTCATCTGTTAACTGGTTCTGACAGTAGTAATCTAAAAATACAACAAAACAGACACCCATCACTGCTTGCATTTTTCTCTGAAGCGGTCTGTTAGAAAAAAAGGTTTCAAAAGATGTTATATCAGCTTCTGGGAACACGGGCATTAATACTGAGAGTGTAAGGCTTCTTTCTGCACTTGCCACCACGCATTAGTTTGAGCAGTACCCTACACCAGTGAAGCTGGTTTTTCTTTCTCACTTTGCCTTAAAATAAATACTAACTTATTGAAGATATTAGCTTTAAGGGTTTAGGATTGTTTTGTTTTTTTGTTACATGAACTCATTCATTATTTCTAATTGGCAGATTCTTTACCATCTTCCCTTGCAAAGTTGTGCAACATGCCAAAGATGACGCTTAATCCACTTTAAATATTTAACAGCTGATGAAATTGCATAAAATAGAATCAAATTTCAAAATCATATTGCTAAAAAACTTGCATTACTCTCATACATTTATTCTCTTATGATATAAAGGAGCTATAAAAAACCCTTACATTTACATATCCACACAGCCTTAATCAACTTGTTGTTCAGTTCAAATTAAAATAAATTTTAAAAATTATTTTCCTTCATTTATGATCTTAGCTTTCTACTGAAAATTTACAATTTAAAAAAAATAATCATAATATTTCAAAGACAATCCCAGGTACAATTTTATGAAAGAAGAATCAATTCTTTTTTTACTTGATGCCAGAATTATGTTAGGAATACTACATTTGTACGGTTTTTCACACTAAACATTGTCTTCCCGATGAGAAACAGAATTCTTTTTAACAGGAAGCACCTACAACCAGAGGTATCACCTGAAATAATTCTTTCAAATACAGTTGAAAGAAG